TTCCAACAGATCAGAGAGTATCGGTTGTGGCTGAATCCTCAGAAATGTACTTTCGGTGTTACAGCAGGGAAAATGCTGGGGTTCTTGGTCACACAAAGGGGTATCGAGGTCGATCCTTCCAAAATCAAGGCCATCTTAGAAATGCCACCACCGAGGACTAAAAAGGAGGTGCGAGGCTTTCTGGGTAATGTGCAATTCAAAAGACAGTTTATTGCAAAATTAACCTTGACTTGTGAACCACTGTTTGGTCTCCTGAAGAAAGGAAAGAAATTCCAATAGGACGACCGATGCCAAGTTACTTTCGAGTAGATCAAGCAATATTTACAGAACCCACCTGTGTTGTCACCACCAGAGCCAGGAAAAACGTTGATTCTATACCTATCAGTGACCGACACGACAATGGGCTGCATGCTTGCACAGGAATCTGAGGATAAAGTGGAGAAGGCTATCTACTACCTGAGTAAGAAAATGCTGGAATACGAGACCCGCTGCACGCTGCTGGAAAAGGCTTTTCTGGCCTTGGTATGGGCTACCCGGAAGTTGAGGCACTACCTGTTACTCACTCTGTAATACTGGTTTCGAGATTAGATCCCATCAAGTATCTCTTCGCGAAACCAGCACTTACGGGTAGGCTAGCTCGTTAGTTGCTTCTTCTCTCCGTATTCGATCTGAAGTACATGACGCGCAAGTTAGTGAAAGGGAGAGCGGTAGCAGAGTTCCTAGTCGATCACCCAGTAGGGATGAAGCAGTAGAGTATCTGTTCCCAGATGAGGCCATTTTGCAGGTTGAAGAAGAAGTCTGAACTATGTACTATGACGGAGCGTCAAATCAGTATGGGTATGGGATAGGGGTGTTATTGATAGCACCCGACAATTCCCACATACCCTTAGCTTTCAAACTCCGGTTCAAAGTATCAAATAATAAAATAGAGTATGAGGCATGTATCGTTGGCTTAGAAGCCGCCTTGAAACTAAGGGCAAAAAGGTTGGATGTCATCGGGGACTCGAATTTAGTTGTGTCTTAGGCTAAAGGAGACTGGAAGGTGAAGGAAGAAAGGATGAAAATCTACCACCAAACTCTGGACATTCTAATTCCCAGGTTTGAGAAGTTAACCTTCACCCATCTGTTGAGAGAGAGCAACAGGTTCGCAGATGCTTTGTCAACTCTATCTTCTATAATAGACATCCTTTTGGTGGAAAAATAGAAAATGCCTTAACTCAAACTCATGCCAGTACAGGCATTGGAAACTATGAATCAATCCTCTCTAGAAATTACTTAAGAAACAAGTACAGGCTGACATGAACTAAGTAAGAACTTTAAACTCATAATGGATAAAATCTTCCCTTTTAGACACAAGTGTGGCCCAACAATACATGATGAACAAGAATCTAGGCCGGATGAAAGGTTTCTCGTATAAGAATATATATCTTATCAACATTATTCGACCTAATTCAAATAAATTCAGATTATATTGTAATCTCTAGGGTTGAAGACCGATTACCTACTAGTCAGTCAAAGAATACAAATGATTTGATAGAAATGTTATAGCAGCAACAATTTGGAAAGAGATGCTATGGATGCAAGGTTTGAATTTTAAGTCACATCATCTTATTTAAATCACATCACCTCTCTAACACATCACATCAAACCCAACCCAAACCCAACCCATATAAGCCAATAAGTCAAAAAGTACACTTTTTTAGAACATCCCAAACCAGCCCTAATACAGTTGAGATTACAAGAATCCTGACAATAATATAAAACCGTACTCGTAAGCATGTTGAATTATTTTGAAGTTAAAGAACTCGCATACAGAGGCACACATGTATAAACCGACTAATGAAATCATGATTCTAAACCATTTTTATGACATTAATCCAGAGAGGAATTTTAACTATACTCAAAAGCATGTTATATCATTCCCAAGTTGAAGAAAAAGAACTCACTAATCACTAAGTAAAGAAGTAGTAATCAGAGGTATGATGCTTTAAACTTCTTTGTAGATGAATTATATGAATCGTAAACCGCAACTATAGGCTCACCTGTGCTCCTCCTCTGTCCAAGCAATTCCCTTGCGGCGCTCCTGATCTGATCTTGAAGCCTTACCTCCATGATTAGAATCGCCATTAAAATTCCCAAAATGGCCACCCTTTTTACCAGTTCCTTCATCACCTGCGTGGCTCGTAGAACCGTCTGAAGAGGAATTATAGCAAGGTAGAGGCACGCAGCCAGACTCAATGTTATTAATGTCATCAACTAACAGCTCATAATGATGTTTAATCTCTTCTAAGGATTTCCCTGGAACATCTGCTGCAATCTTCTCCCACCAATCTGCAGAATCCTCAGGATAAGTTGCTAGGGCATTCTCAAATGCCCTGTCCTGCTCTCTACTCCAAGCAGAGCTATCCCCAGTTTCTTCAGCTTTCATCTAGCCTTGTTTGATTCCCCTATCAAGTGTTTCACCCACAGCAAGAAGAAGAAGATGAAGAAGAAAAGGAATCTAGCAAACACTCCAAAATCAATATCTAAGCTAAAATACCCATCTCCACAACCAAGGAATTCTCTAGAATGGCTCTTGAAAACTGGATCTGCATTATTTCCAATAAGGGGGGGTTCACTGACAACCAGCAAATTGGTAGACTGGAATTGTGTGAATAAGATACGTCAGACCAAAGAGAGTGAGAAGGAAGGAAAGAAACAAACCCTAAAAATAGCCAAGTGAGCTGCACCAGAAACTAGAACCAATAAATATCATGAAAAATCTGAGGAAATGAAGATGCTGATGATTTCAAATGGTTATTTGCTTCACAATTCAAGTATTGGACACTTGCAAAATGCTTACCTATTGATGAAGTCAAGCAAACAGGTTCAGTTAGACACCATGAGAAATATCTGAAAACCATAAAATCAAAAGAAGCAATAAATGGCAGTGTGAAACAAGACAAGGAAAAAAAAAAAAAAAAACTGAAATTAATGGAGACGGTGAATTCAATTCGATGGTAATTAGGGCTTTGGACTGTGAGATAAGAAAGAGCCAAACAAAGAAGAAAGACCCAGAAGTCTGAAATGATTTTTTTTCTTTTTCTTTTAAAAAAAGAAAAGCCAAAAAACCATTCACAAATTGCCATTTCCGATTCAAACAAATACCCAATAACCAAAAGTCCTTACTGATTGCAACAGTTTTTACAGAAAAGGCCCACACAAAAAAAAAATATATTCCACTACAGTCCATTCCACACAGTGACTCCTCAGCATGAAGTTAAAAAACTAGAATTTTATACCTCAATTACATGAGATTGCAATGTAGTTAATTCAGTATTGTGAAAATTTTCCAGAGAAACGAGTTTAAACACTTGTAATTTGTGACTGAACACCAAAAGAAAAAACCCATTTCATTTTTTTTATTATTATTATTTTTTTTTTTACCGAGAGAGAAAAGAAATACAGAAGTGAATTGGTACTTACTATTTGAGTGAATAACGAAAGCCCCCTTTTTTTCTGAGTAAACAAACACCCATCAGAAAATGCACAATGATTTATCAGCCAACAACAACAAAAGAAAACAACAAGACTAGCAAATGGTCCATGTGGGGGGTTGCTGTGGTTGATTGTGAAAACCCATCTCTCAGATTCCTTCCTAAATAGTTTAACCTCTGAGAGCGACCCCAGTAGTACAAGTACTACTCCTCAGTAAAACTCTACAAACCCGAAAACTACTCCTACTACTCCCATATCATCAAGATTTTGACAGTTTAACCAACCACTCATAAATCAACTTTCCTTTCCAACTATCTTACCCATGGATAATCCGTGGATTTTCCAACCTAAAAAAAACCAAAAAGAGAATAACTTGAATTATTGGTATCGTCTCCAAGTATTACCGATTCATACCATTAAAAAAAACTCACTATTAGTACTAATGCATATTAAAAAAATAAATAAATAAATAAATCGCAATGATACATCTTTTTAATTTTGAAGCTCTAATTAGAATAAAAAAAATAAAACCAATATCAAAATATCACATCAGAATGGGGTCCACTTCCATTAGAGAGCTCTCAATTATTTTTCAAAAAAAAAAAAACCAAGGCATAAGCAGTGCCCCGCCATTGTCACATTATTAGTGATGCTATTAGAGTACTATTTTTAGTGCTCTCAACCATTTTTCAAATACTAATCTCTTATATTATTTTCATAACTTGAAAAAAAAAATGAAATTAATGGAGCCAGTGAATTTCCAAATAAAAAATACAATATACCCTAAATAATCTATCAAATTTTTCATATGAGTGTGAACGTACACAAACCCACATCAAATTTTCTATCAAATTTTTCATATGAGTGTGAACGTACACAAACCCACATCAAATTTTCTATCAAATTTTTCATATGAGTGTGAACGTACACAAACCCACATCAAATTTTCTATCAAATTTTTCATATGAGTGTGAACGTACACAAACCCACATCAAATTTTCTATCAAATTTTTCATATGAGTGTGAACGTACACAAACCCACATGTGTGTCGATCCCACACTTATGTGACAGATTTGGTAGAAAATTTAGTAGATTATTTGAAATTCCTATATAACTTTTTTCAAATTATAAGAACCAAATAAACCATAAACAAAATCAATCAGTGTGTTTGGTTTCAGTTTTTTAAAAATTGAGTTTTTTGCTTTCGTACTTTTTTATTTTTAGTGAATATTTTTTAAATTTTAAGCATTTTTTTATATTTTTAGAAGCATCTTACTTAGATAAATCTAAATAGTAAAATATTTGTGAAAAAATATTTTAAAAAATTAATAAATACACAAAAATATGAAAAATGTATTTAGGTGTGCCTAAACTTTTTTTCAAAAAATTACTTAAAATATTAAAAAAAATTATTGAAAACATTAAAATATAAAAAATAAAAAAATAAATTTTTCTGAAAATCAAAACCAAATAAGCTGAATAATACAACACTAACTTTAACATGAACAAATTGTGGGTACCCCAAAAGCAATAAAAAAAAATCTGAATTACTAGACAGATTTGGGTTAAATAAGAGCATTTGTAGGGAAGATACCAACACTATATTAGGGTAGACATTGTGAGAACATATTTTTAGAGTTGTTCATGTGGTCGATGTTGTTAGTCAGGTGTCACATGGATTGGCCGAGATGCCGATATATGGTCGGATAGAGGGTAAGAGTCCTAAATGATATCAAATTATATTTTTTGATAGAGATGAGATTGTTATGGAAGTGTATCTTAATCTGAATGATGTGAGTTATGATAGATGTTATTCTTGTAAATGACAGAGTCATATGGACTGATACTTCTAAAGGACGAAGGCACTGCTGATTATAAAAGTAAGGCATCCCGTGAATCTAAGGTATGCTTTTACTTGTGAATTGTTTACTGAAGTTGTTATTTTTGAGAGATAAATTGACTAACTTGAATATCAGAGTGCCTCAAATGAACGAGCCACTGTAGTGTTTGTTATCTTTTTGTATGCAGATATTGGACTCTTCTATTCTTTCGTGTGTTGTACATTTAAATTCCTTAGACCTCAATAAAAAAATTTAATTTGATTGTAAGATAAAAAAATCAATACTCACATACATTATTCACTAACCAAATTATATTCAGATTTTGGTGATTCAATGCACTTGTCAACTAACATTCTGAATATGTTCATAGTTGGAATATATATTAATGAATATTTTGTTACAGTTTTTATTGTCTATTCATAATGGGAATGGAACCTATCATTTTCCATTGCCTACTTCACTTTCATTATAAGCAAGCGGTAGAAAATCAAGTGTTTTTAATATTTTTGTATATTAAAATGTGACTAGATTTTTAACAAATAAATAAATTTTAATCCCATTTTGCCCTTGTGTGTACTCTACCCTTATTTTTACTTGTAAAAATTTAAGTAAAAACTTCATCTCATATAGGTTATTCTAATTTTATAAAATTTAAGTTTAAATTTTAATATAATTTTGGAAAGTGATTTTCGAAGTTGACATATCCCCCATAAAGTAGCTTAAGTTGAAGTTAAAAATAAAAAAATATTATTAAAAAAAATCTCTTAAAAGAGTTGCAAGAAATTTTGAAGATTTTAAATCAAATTTAAATATGATATGAACAAAGATAAGTACGGCCGTGTACTAAATACTTTAAAGAAATCCTATATACATTCTATTTTTTTACCATTTTATATCATTGGCACGTTTACGTTAAGATACATCTACGTTCATTAATTCGTTAATAGTTATCATAATACATAATTGTGACAAAAAAATCAGTGATATATAACATCTCTCAATACTTTAATATATTCATTTATCGTTCTTTGGCCATGTTTATTTTGTTAGAGTAAGCAATTGGTAATGAATGATAATAATTTTTACTGTATGTAATCTTTACAATAAAACATACCAAATAGTGAAATCAAACAAAAAAAAAAAAATTAATCTCTATGTTACCGATCATGATTGCTGCAAAGCCAAGCCCATATATATGTAATGATCATAAACTGATGGTATTTTGATCATTTAACGTAAATTTGGACATATCTAATTCTTCATTTTATATATCAACCTTTATGAGACTCAATATTGTCACATATGAAGAATACACAATTTGAAAAACTGTCAAATCAAAAATCTAATTTTATATTTAAATGTGAAATTCAAAATCAGTCATAACATATAATCCAACCCTATGATTTTATCCCAAACAAACACAACCTTTTGTTTCTTTCTTTCCTTGGAATCTAATTAAAAAAAAAAAAATGTTAGGGAAAAGGTTAAAAAGGGCAAGTCAAAAAAATTGGGAGGATGATGTTGATGGGGTTATCCTGAAATATTATCATTAGGCAAGGCAATGGGGGAGGAGGTGTGGGATCATAGTGAACGAGCAACTAGTTGCAAGAAGTCCCCCCCTGCCCCATTAATAATCTGACACCTAAAAGCATGCATCAACTTGCAGAGAGAGCGAGAAAGAGAGTAAAATGAAAAAATGGAAAGTTGAAGAGAAAGGAGGAAACTATCTTTTATGTGCCAAATTTGGTGGGGATTGGATAGAAAACAACAAAACTTGGAGTAGAGATGTCAGGATTATGATGAAGAGATAAGAAGGATCAGCATTTGTAAGAATTTAACTATAAAAAATTAAAAAGAAAGAAACTTTAAGAAAAAGGCCTGTTATAATCAGTGTGGGCTTGTATTTTATTTGAATCATCACCTTTTTTTTTTTTTCTGCTTCCTTTTGGGCAACTTACATGGGCGACACAAATAGCACAATAGCAAAGAGGTTCCCTGCAATCGGCAAAAAAAAAAAAAAATTCGATTATCTCGAAAAATCTCATCAATCTTTGAGGGTGTTTTGGGATGTCCATACATGGTTACCATTGTGTTTAACATGGTTTCGAGATCGTTTGGGAACACAAGGAAAAAAACTACCTTTAGGATAAAAAAAAAAGGCAGCTTTTGGCCGAAAAGCCAAAAAAATTGTTTGTCATCAGTTAAACATCAATATTTTCACTCACAAAAAATAATTTTTTGTAGCAACTTTCCAAACGAAACACATTAACTAGAACGGCCACTAAAAAAACCAAAAACCCACTAAAAAAAAAGCACCCAAATGCCCACTAGTAGTATGAATCTATATAACACATTCAGTGGTGGTGGCTAAAC